CCCAACCCCCGCCTGTGCCCGGCACGGAGGCGGCAGTCCGCCTACCTGTCTGTGTCCTGCCGGGGCCCCGGCTCCGAGCGGCTCTGTGCTCTGGGACAGGGCTGGCATTACCTCCATTCCCAAGAGCTCTTTCTCCACCAGCTGGTCACCACCTTGAGGCAGAGATGTCCCTCTTCTGTTCGCTGATTTGTCCCTGTGTCAGAGGGGCCCCGTCTATCAGAACCTGCCATAGGGCGGGGCCTTCAAAGGCAGGTAGAAGGTGAGGAGGTCACAGTCCCCGGCAGCCCCACACACTCAGACTCCGGGGGCCTCCGGGTAGCCCTGGACCCAGCTTTGCTATTCGGGCACAGATGCCCGCCTTCCCGTCCCAGCTGTGGGCAACAGGGACCACGTGCCTTGCCCTGGTGACCAGAGAAGGTGCGCAAGGAGCCCTCGTAACTGGGGGGCGTGGAGGCGGAGTTTTGCTGACCTCAGACCACGAAGAACCAGGAGCGCCAAGTAGCGTGCGTTTGCTGAGCCTTTGCTATGTGCCAGGCCCTACCCTAAGCCCCGAGGGGCGCCCACTCATTTGATCTTCATGACAGTCCCATGAAGTGAGAATGACTATTATTCCCTTTTTACTAAAGAAGAAAGTCGAAGTTCAGGTCGGGGAGCTGGCGGTGGGTTTGCCATTCACTGAGCGAGGGGTGGGTTAGAGGGAAGGAAGGGGACAGGCGAGTGAGCGGTGCCTGGACATCTTGCTTGGGTGTCCTGGGGCCCCGCAGGAGCTGGGGACATCTCCAGGGAGAAAGCTCGGCTTGCAGAGGCCGCCCAGGACAAGCCCTGGTCTGGGACAGGAGGGCGAGTGAGTGGCCAACAGAGAGGGAAGTCCTGGTGGGGCTGAGTCACCGAAGTGAGAAGCAATCAAGCCTCCTTTGAAACAGCAAAGGCTGCCCTGGCTGGGTAGCGCAGTTGGTTAGAGCGTCGTCCCGGAAAGCCAAGGTTGCAGGTTCAATCCCTGGTCAGGACACATGCAAGACTCAGCATAAAAATAAATGAAATGGCAAATCGATTTCTCTCTCTCCCACCCTCTCTCTAAAATCGGTTTTTGGAAATGAAATGGCAAAGGCTGTCCAAGGAACAGGTGCCCCTTCCCTACGACCTGCAGGTGTGACTGCACGTGGTTGCGGAGGCGTTTGGCAGCACCTCCTGCTTTGCTGTGTTGCTGTGCATAGACACCTTTACAGAGTGAAGTCTGGGGCCGCGGTCCCGGGGTGGGTGGGCCGCTCCCCCAGACCTGCTCCAGTCCGCTTGTGCTGGGATTCCGGGGCCGGGGAAGATGGGGAGGAGACAGGAAAACAGACCCTAGGCTCCTTCTCCCCCTTCCTGCCGGCCCCTTCCCAGCGGTTGTGTGCTTCATGCTGTGTGCTTCATGCTGTGTGCTTGACATACAAATAACAAAAACCTTTTTATGTGGAGTGAGCAGTGGGGCAGAGACTGAGCTCCAGTGCAGTTGATCCAGCAGGACTGTTTTTTAAGGGAGGTTGTAGTCTTTTTTATTTTTTTAAAGATTTTATTTATTTTACTTTTTAGAAAGATGGGAAAGGAGGGAGGAAGAGGGAGAGACACATCAATGTGCAACAGATACATTGATTGGTTGCCTCTCGCACACCCCCAATCAGGGACCTGGCCCACAACCCAGGCATGTGCCCTGACTGGGAATCGAACCAGTGGCTTTTGGTTCACAGGCTGGCGCTTAATCCACTGAGTCACACCAGCCAGGGCAGGAGATTGTAATGTTATTTACAAAAGTAAAAAACAACATACGCTCAGGGCAACGACTTAGGAGCAGATATGCTGGGATGGTTTTCTGCTGCAGATTCTTGTTTTCCTCGTTTTCACCCTAAAGCCTCGAAGCCAGGTAGGCAGTTCTGTCAGCACAGCCCTCTCTTTTAACCAAGGGACACCCTCCTTTGAGGAGTCATGACATGCCCTCCCGTTGTCCAAGGAGCCATGGGAACAGCCTCTGTCGTCCTGCTGGAGGATGTCACATCCAGCCAAGTGCTGCTCCAGCGCCCTTTCAGCACGCCCGGGGCAGCCTCGGAAGCGCTGTGACCCCCTGTGCCCCCAGCGCCCCTGGCTGGGCCCGTCACTGCCCTCCTCGTAGACAGATGTCCCGCCTCGCTTCCCAGAGGCTCCTCGGCAGAGATCCACCCCCACCGGAGAAATTCCTGACCCCAAAAAAGCCTGGGGCTTGACGAAGGGCCCGCTTCTAAGAGCCGTCTTACACTACAATTTCCAGATCAGAGCCGGCTCTGTTCTCGAGTCTTGGTCTCCACTTCCGAGCTATTTTTAATTTGCTTATTTAAAGAAGCCATCATCTCTGTGCTCAACAGCATCTATTCTGTTGTGGAATTTGGAAGTGTGCCGACTGCCCATGGTCTTCTCAGAAACAGACCTTTAAGAATCAAGTCCGATCCTTGACATGCTCGTGTAGAAATCCTGCAAGGTACAAGGCTGTCTGGCGTTTCTGTGGACGACGTTCCTGCTGGTCCTGGGCTTTTGATCGGTGCTGTGGTGCCCGGCACAGCTTCATGCTGGGGACTCGCTTGATCCAGGTTGAAACCTCAGCTGCACGACTCCTAACGGACTTGCTCCAAACTGTCGTTTTCTCATTTGTAGAAAGAAAATTTGGAAAACAAAAACGACCGCCAACAAAGAGCGCTCGCTGCACTGGACGCTTTCGGTGATCAGCGCTTGTTCTGAACCACAGCACCTCGCTGAGCCAGGGCTCTGGTGTCTTTGATTTCTTATAACCCCGAGCTTTAAGGCAGCCTGTGCTTGTGATTTGAACTTGAGTTCTTTGGGGCCTCGTCTCGTCTTCTGGGCTTGACCTCTGTCCATCAGAGTCTGGGCTTTTGGAAATCTCAGACTGAGGGTATGTGTGGCTCTCCGGGTTCAGGGCCAGCAGCTTCTGCAGAAAAAGCGATGTTTTCATCCTTTTCTTGAACGTGCCCGTGCCCGCACCCGCTGGGGAGGGGCCTGGAACAGAGCCGTTTGTACAAACTGAGAGACCTGAGTCAACCATCTATCAAATGAAGGAATATGCATTAAAGTAATAAAGGACCATGTTTCGTATCTAAGTTAACAGTTTTAAATTATACTTGGTGGTGACGAGGGAGCAGTGGCCGATGATGTTATTCTGATAAGGAGCTGGTGGCATTAAGAATGGGGGCAAGTGCTGGAAAACGAATACAGTAGTTTGCATGTTAACCATTAAAACAAAACCCTCTTGTATTTTGATATTTTACTTCTGGAAGCCTGTCTGAAGAGATGAACTCCAAATGAGGCAGAGCTCTGTGCATGAAGATGTTCGTGGCAACCTTAATTATAGCAGCAGATTAGAAGGCAACTGCCGGTAATAAGGAAGTAGTTGGGTAGATGGTGGGATGGTTGCTCTTTGAAACATCCTGCCCCCACTAAAATTATGTGGCAGCATGGATGATGCTTATGTTAAGTAAGAAAACAATACCCTAAATTAGAGGCATAACAGAACCGCAGCCTCATAAAATATGTACATGAGAAAGATTGCACACAAAAAAATTTAAAACAACAATGACAACAGAAGATTACACAAAAATCCGACAAGGAGTAGTGATTACGGGGAGAGGTAAGGGCTATCAATTTTTCCCTTTTTTCTAATTCCCACACTTTCTCTATTGTAGTGTGATTACTTTTATGAAAAAAGAATACAGACGAGGCGGGGGGGGGCGCGTGGTGAGAAGCGCGGAATTATCAAGGTTGATTTCAGGAGGGACCGAGACGGCCGATCGCGCGTCCTCTGGCGAGTTCGGATCTAAAGAGGGTTTAGGTTTCCGTGTAATGACCTGTTGGTCAGAACAGCTCAGCGCTATCATTTTTGGAGATCGCTATGGTTAGCAGCATTGGATTGCGGAAACCATTTCTGGGGCTCTCAGAGGTGGGGTGTGGGCCGTGCCTCGTGCTAGGCCCTGCCTGCCCTTGGGGGTCTGCAGTCACGGGTGGGGAGCGGTGTCCTGGCTCACAGGACCAGGCACAGGGGGAGCCCAGGGGAGCCGGCCGAGTGGGACCGTCTCGGGAGGCAACCTCTGGAGTGACGGGCCACCACCCTGGTTGGCTCGGGCTGCTCTGACGAGTGCCACAGATGAGGCAGCTTAAACCGCAGGCGTTTATTTCTCGCAGCTCTGGAGGCTGAAGGCCGAGATCGGGGTGCCCGTGTGGTTGGGTCCCGGTGAGGGCTCTCTTCCGGGTTTGCAGGCGGCGGCCTTCTTGCTGTGCCCTCCCACAGTGGAGAGAAAGATCGTCTCTCTCAAGCCTTTTCTTAGGGGCCCCACCCTCCTGGCCTCATCTAAACCTAATCTGCCCGCTCCCACAGGCCCCACCTCCTGACACCATCTCTTTGGGGGTTAGGGCATCGATGTGTGGATTAGAGGGACACTGTTCAGTTCATAGCAGGTGTGAGGGGCAAGAGGGGGAGGTTGGGTCTGCAGCCGCGCTCAGGCCTGCCCTTGACTTTGTTGCTGTAGCTCAGGAAGGCAGGGTCTGGCTCCGCTGGTTTCTTTCACTCTTGTTTGCTGCTGTAGGTCCCGGAGGGAAGAGGCTGGGGCGGGGGCTGGGCTTTGACCCTGGCCCAGTGTTGTATTACGTTGGGCTGCGTATACTCCCTCGTGACGCTCCCCTGGATGGCAGTCGCCCACAGCAGCGCCACCCCTGGAGGGCCCTGGAATCACTCCTGAGGAGGCGGGTGGGTGCTCTGGGCGCCCAGCAGAGAGGCCCTAATAAGCAGTAGGAGCTGGGGCCTCTGAGCGGTTTGTAGTGTGGGCTGTGGCAGGGCCTTGGCATCAGAGCAAGAAGATTCCAGAAAATGGACAACAAAGCGGCGTTACTGCTGCCAGTGGCGGGGGTGGGCGCTGTGAGCAGGCCACCTGTTCGGTTGGTTCTAAAGGTTGCTTTCTGCTCTCTCCTCCCGGTGCCTGGCGCAGAGTCAGATGGAGTTCAGCATCTCCTCCTTATCCATCCAGGAGCCGAGCGGCGGCCCCACCAGCGAGCCTAGGCCACCGTCCAAAGCTGCTCAGGGCTCGCAGGCCCTCCGGCCTCCCCAGGGCAGCAAGTCCTGCAGCCTGGATGCTCTGGGTCCCGCCCGGAAGGAAGAGGAAGCGTCCTTCTGGAAGATCAATGCAGAGCGGTCCCGCGGGGAGGGGCCCGAGGCCGAGTTCCAGTCGCTGACCCCCAGCCAGATCAAGTCCATAGAGAAAGGTGAAAAGGTCCTGCCGGCCTGTTACAGGCAAGACCCTGCCCCGAAGGACAAGGAGGCCAAGGTGGAGAGGCCCAGCCAGCCCCGCCCGGAGCCGCGTGTCCTTCCCAACGCCAGCGTCGGGCGTGAAGGGCCCCAGCCCCCCCAGGCCTGTGCCAGCACCGTGGAGGAGGTCACCCCCTCCGAGCCCGTGCGCAAGCTGCCCTCCCCCGTGGCCGGCCCGGGCGGTGGGGAGGACATGGAAGAGGATCTGTTCTCGGAACCCGCACCTGCGCAGGTGGGTGGCCCCTTCCTCCCGGAAGGACGTGGGTGTTACCGGCTCTTGGCTGTTGTGAATCGTGTTGCTATGAACAGGGATGTGCAAATAGCTGTTCGAGTCCCTGCTTTCAGTGTGTGTGGTATGTCCCCAGAAGAGGAATTGACAGGCCAGGTGGTAATGCCACAGCGGTTACACTGTTCGGCATTCCTGCGAGCAAGAGGTCTAGTTCTCCACATCCTCACCAACGCTTGCTCTTTTTTTGTTTTTGGACAATAGCCATCCTCGTGCGAGCTATCTCATTGTGGGTTCGATTTGCATGTCTCTGATGACTCGTGATGTTGACTATCTTTTCATGTTGCTCACTGACCATTTGTGTATCTTCTTTGATGAGATGTCCATCGTCCCTTGCCCAGTTTTCACTGGAGGGTGTTTTGTTTTTGGGCTCTGGTCATCCTCTGGGTGTTTCCTGAATGGGGTTCCAGGTGTTCCCACATCTCTCTGAGCAGACGACTGGTCAGCATCCCCCGAAGACACGGCTCGGATGCAGCAAAACAGGGCTTCCGCCGGGCTGCCAGGGAAGCTGCGTGGCTCATTGCTGCTTGCGGACACTGCGTTTGCCAGCAGCGCAGCGGGCAGGCTGTGAACGCATCCTTGCCTAGGAAGGCTGCAGGCCACCCGGGGACACCTGCTGTGCTGGACCGGAAGAAAGGGGCCCCCCAGTCACAGGGCTGGCGGGAGCCTGTGGGGACATGTCTGAATACCGCGGCCGCCCGAGACAGCCCGCGCTTAACCACGTCCTTCATGGGGGAGATCCTTGACCTTAAAAGTGTCCCTGGGTTGGGGAAGACACTCCAGAACCTTCCACATAATCCGAAAGAAGCTTTCCATCCTCTCCCCATTTTTTTTATTCCCTCAACTTGGCAAGTTTTGCGAGAGTGTGTGTGTATTATGTTAGAAAGACTGCATTTGTAACATGTTCTCTTATTCCGTGATGAGTAAACTTAAACATGCCTGTCTTCCAGAGACACATGTTTCTCCTTGCCTTTGTAGTTGGCCTAGAAGCTGCTCACAGACATGTCTGGGGACAGAGAAGGCCAGTGTTGGGTCCCAAGAGAGTGTAGCTTGCATTGAATTTTATTTAATTTTCTGGTTCCAAGCACGGAGGCAAATTGAGGTCAGGGAACGGACCGCTTCATTTGGGTCATTTTAAATGAATTGCTGTTTTTAGATTACGCAAAACTAAAAAAACCCTCCTGCCTGACTTTGGTGTTTTTGTCTCTCCGCAGGTCAGCTCAAGCAATGTCATCTTGAAGACGGGGTTTGATTTTCTGGACAACTGGTAAAATGTGTTAGACCAAAAAAAACCAAAACCCCATAAAAACCCAAGAACCCCCAAATGTTTTCTGGAGCGGTGTGGCGGAGGAGGATGCAAAGGACAGCGTTTCCTGGGTCCTTTCTGGTTGCAGTGCCCAATTTTCTTAATCTTTTGGAAACTGGTAAAAATTGCCTTGCCCAGATTTCCACACTTTCCCCTTTTTGGTAAGACCAGAGAGATACGCTATTTTCAATGCTTTGATAACAAGTTTTACACTTGGAATTTTTAAAGACCGTTTCGGGAGTTCAGTAAATCTTGCAAATACAACTTCTGTTCCGGCTGCACCCAGTCCACCCGTCCCCCGGAGAAGGGCTCTCTCTGATGTCATAAAAGCTACTTCCGCCCCTGCTCCTTTATCCCCTCCCTTTTTTGAATGGGTGGGGCTACCTTTGGCAGGGGATTGCTGGTGACATCCTCAGCCACGGTGCCGTCAGCATGCTGGCTGTGGCCGTGGAAAGGTTTGCTCCCCACGCGCCCCCCCGCCCCCGCCTCCGCCTCCAGATGCCCAGGGCTTCCGCGCAGAAGCCCTGTTTCTTGAATCTTGTGCCACCCTCCGCCCTGTGTGTCACTTCCAGGAAACAGACATGACACGTGGCAGAGGGCGTCTTTGAGCGGCCCTGATGCTTACTCAGACTATCCATCCTTGTTTAAGAGTTGCATGTTTAAAAGTTTTGTATTAACTTTTCATTATTTTGTATCTAGATTTAGCGGTGGTAGGGCTACCACTTTAGAAGTTCTTTGCTACTTCTGTGGCCTCTGGGTGTCCCTGTCCCGGGCGCCTTCAGGAGGAAGGGCTGATGGCAGGTGTCGCCGGAGGACAGGGCTCTCCTGATTAGTTGTGTTAGACCTTCCCGTGTGAGACCGGCCGGGGCTCCTTCCTCCCAAGGACTGGTCAAGCTGTGTCGCCGTGGACCCTCCCCCAACCCTGGCCGCCAGTGGAAGTGGAGTTGTCCAGCGTCTGCACGGACCCAGCAGTGCCCCCTGGAGACCTTTGTGGTCATAGCAACAGCACCTCCTGGGGAGGGAGGACTGGGGGCCTCACCCTGGGAAGCCTGTGCCCTGACCATGGCCCCGGGCTGCGTGAACCTGCAGGACACGCCCCAGTGTGGTCCCCACAGCACCCCTCACTGTGTTCTCCTCACCTGAAGCCTTAATCCCAGCGAGTCCTGCCAGCGTGCGCCTGGTCTCAATATCAAAGTGTATCTTTAAAAAAAAAAATGCCTCTGTTTAACAGGACAAATCTGAAATGATTTTCAGAATATTTTAGCTGGCTCCAAGGTGAAGCACATGGCAACATTTTAATTTTTTCCAGGAAAGTTTCTGCCAAAGCCGTGGCTTAGCCAATGTTTGGTTTGGTTCCTGCCAATTGCTTAACGTTCCTAAACCTCATTTGGCTCCTTCGGGTACTGGATTTGACCTTCCTCCTTTGGTGACTGTCTATTGTGGCAAATGCGGGGTTTTTTTTGTTGTTTTGTTTTTTTCCGTGCGGTTTAAGTAGAGTTGAACTATAGAAAGGAAAATAGGTTTCTAGCATGGTGGTGAGGGAAGGGAGCCTAGAAAGCCCACCTGGAACAGCACACGGGGGGCCGGCCCCCCTGGGCCAGCGGCAGAGCCTCGAGCCTGGCTTACCCCCTGCCCCAGTGAGGGCCGGGAGCTGCCTTAGAACCCGGGCTTGAAAGAAGGGTCCTTCAAAACCAGGAGATGTGCAGACATGGGTTTGTGTCCCCTGGTGTTGAGAGCAGAGAAGAAAGACCTGTGTCCTCAGACGATTAGCCCGAAGCGATCTGTCTGTTCTTCTGGGAGACGATTCTAATTTCTTTCCCACTTTCCCATCAAGCCCAATAACCCCTTCAAGCTCGGAAATCCTAGAGGGGACCTAAAGTCGTGTTGCTTTGCTCCGCTTTCCGAAGTAAAGGAATGTGAGAGGGGGAAGCGGAGGCCTGCAGGGTGCTGGCTCGTGGTCTGCACCCGGCCGGGCCTGCCTGTCCTCGTAACCATGGCAGCCTGTATACAAAGATGGTTCCTTTGCCGTCCCCTGGGAATCTATGGTCAGTGAATCCAAATAAGGGAAAATTAAGCTCCTCTGTCCACCACCTTTCTCCCCCGTGTATCAGGATGGAGCTTCTAAAACCAGAAGTTTCTATTTATCATTTTAAAAATACACTTTTCAGCTGCAGCCTGTATGTTTTCGGATTTCCCGCACCCCTACCCTCTGCGCCTGGGATTCAGCTCAGAGAGTCAGCGTCTTGCCTTGGGTGGCTGTATTTTGCAAAATCTCTCCCAAGAAGTCAGACACCAGTCTCAGCCCTTTGCCCTGGGGGTCCGCCCCGGCCCCCCTGGGCCTGGGAGCGCCACCCACTTTGGGAACAGCGGGGGTCGCAGCCCCCACGTGGCTGTCAGAGCGGCCTCCCTTTCTTTGCGCCTCTCTTTCTTTGATACACATTTTCAACAATGAAAATTCTTACTGGCTACTTGTAACTTGGTTGTATTTTATATTAATAACCTTTAATAAAGCCATTGAAAATATTCTAGACGTGTCTGTTTGGGCCTCTGCCGGGGCCGGGGTGAACACCGAGGAGAAGAAACGGATTCTTACTGTTAAACCTGCGTGAAACCTCTCCAGGGGGCCCCTCTGCACAGTCCGGACCCAGCGCCCCCTGAAGGGTAGTGGGAAGCAGTGTGGGGGTGCACCGGTCCCCAGCGGAAGCGGTGGGCTGCGGTGACACGCTGACTGACCAGGAAGGGCAGGTGGTCTCCTGGAAGCCTCCACACTGAGTCCGGTCGAGCGGATCGTCCTTGGAAGAAACACAACATGAAGCCTGGCCGGTCGGTCTATGTTTCCTTGATGTGCAGGTGAATGCACTTTTAAAACTGACACCCGTGGGGAGAACGGTGGCTCAGGTGGACGGCGGGTCTTGCCGGCTCGGGAGCAAAGATTTCTGGGCAGGCAGGCGATCATACCTGCTGACTTACTGCTGCACAGCGGCTGTGGGGAAGCGGGTGGGCCGTGTGTTGTGTTAATACGTCTGCCTGTGATTGGGGTGGGGGGAGGCACAGTAGCTCCTGAGCCTACTGGTTTGGCAAATTTTACGGTAACTCAGCATGTAGTACTAGTAGATTTTTTTTAAAGTGTTTCTTTGCAAGAGGGAGCCATCCACATAAAGACAAAATAGGCCTGGGCGTGTTTAGCACTTTGCAGCTGGGAGGGAAGATATGGAATCTGGGGGCGAGATTGCACTCTGTTGCGGGGTTGGGTATTTATAGTGCTTTTCCGGCAGTTGTGTTGGTCTGATTCTGTGCTCGCGTGCAATCTAATGAACTCATCAGTCTTCCAGGTGGCGTTGATACCAAGATGGGGGCCCCTAGGAGGAATCAGTGATTGTAAACTCCCCCCAAACTCAGGCAGTTCTGGATATAAGATCAACTTAAAAATCAAGAGCAGCAATTCCAGCTAGACATGTAAATAAAAACCAACTCCTAATGGCAACCAGAAATATAAAGTGTCCAGGACTCGACTTCAACAAGTATATGAAGACTTCTTTAAAGAAAACTATACAAATGAAATTGAAGGCCTAGAAGAAGGTGCGCTAATCCTGGGTGGGGTGACAATATTCTAAAAACATCATTTTCCCCCAAACCAGTTTATAAAGTTAGTGCAGCGCCAACAAAAATTGCAGTTGGCTATTTTGAGAAACCGGACAAATTTACATCAGATTGTAGATGGAGACCAATCCTTCGCTGAAGGGTCCGGGGTCTGGCTCTCTCTTCGTTATGGAAACACATTACGGAGCCAGAGGAGCACGGCGTGGGGGCATTGCCGCAGGCGTGGACGATCCCATCGGCAAAACAGGGCAGAGAGCTCGGGTTCACACTCACACGCGTGGGAACTTAGTTCAGAACCCAAGTGGCACCGCAGACGAGCAGGGTTCGCTGTAGGGACAGAGAAGTGTGGGGTCCAGTCCAACACCACACACGCGGCCAGCTCCCTATAGAGTGAAGACCAAATTAAGGTAAAAGTTGAAAGCTCGTAGAGGGGCCTGTCTCGTGACCAAGGGCAAGGAAGGACTTCTTCCATAGAAGTTCAAAAGTCCAGACCATAAAGCAACACACTGCATCGCATACATGGAAAGAAGGATTTTTGTCGGTGAAGTAATCGTGGATAGTGCTAAATAGCTGCAAGGATCGGAGGAGACAGTTGCTATGTCCACTGCAATGAAGGACAAGCGTTGGCAATACACAGGCCACTCCTGCAAGACAACAGGAGGCCAGCAACCTCGGCAGAGCGTTAACGTTAGAGAAAACCCTTAAAAACTGCAGCATGTGGAAAGGTGCTTCAAGTAATTGCTTATGGGAGAAAAAGAGAGCGTTGGACTGCCAGAAGTGAGACAGGGCCGTGGCTCTCACCCGGGGGCGATTTTGCCCCCACCCCGGAGCACGTGATTTGTCGGAACACGTGTGTCAATGCATTGATGGGGAGGAGCGCAGCTGCTGGCCACCAGGGGGCGGGGCCCGGGATGCTGCCCAACGCCCTGCAGGGCACAGCTCAGGCCCCGCAGCAGAGGCTCAGAAACCCCGGGATGGAACTGCACAGGCACTGTGTCGAGAGTAATGTGGCAATATTTTGCCATACTCCCTGCAACCCCACAGTTCCCCTCCAGGGTGTAAGTCTTGAAGGAATTCTTACACAGGCACTTACGGGCGTGTGTACGGGGCTGTTTGTTGCAGTGCTGTCTGAGAATTGGGGGCGAGCTGACGCCTGTCATTTGGAAGGTTGTTAGATAAAACAGGACGCCCTCACCCGGGGTTATTAGGTGGCACCCAAAAGCAGCAAATTAGATGTACACGTGGCAACATGGGTGGCTCTGAACAAATAATATCCCTTAGTGAATAAAAGCAGCAAACAAAATGGAACACAGAACAATATACTATTTGCATAAATTAAAAACATGCTCATAACACAGGAGAGACTCAACAATGGAATGCTTGCGTCCAAGGAGGGTGCAGAAGTGGGGACAAGGGTGGCAGGAAATAAATGGAACAGAGATTTGGATGGACCAATGGTGTTGCTGTGCCCGTGGGTGCCTCTTTGCAAAGAAAGGCGGCACTTCTCCTGACAGGTCTGCTACTGACCTCTCGCATCTCGACAGGAGACTCATCGGTTTCTCCGGGGTGTGAGGATGGAGGTGGCCGTTGGCCAACATCGTCAGGTCGATCTTTAATGGCTCGTCTCTGGTTGTAATTTGTGTAGATGAAATCATACCAGCTGTTGGAGGTGGGGCAGAGGAGGCGGTTTCAACTGGCCAGTGTCTCTGCCAGAGCAACCCGAAGTTCACCCCACCTAAGAGTCTGTCATGCAACAAACCCATACGCCATGATCTATGTGAAGATCTTTCAGAGTTATTTAAAGTTTTCTAACCATATTAGAGAAACGTGTGGAAACAGTCTACTGCTTTAACACAGTACCAGCATTTGGAAGCATTCACTGTCAGTCTTTTTTTTTTTTTTTTTTTTTTTTTTTGTGAAAACGCCCAGGTCCAAGTGGGAAGCATGTGGCACGGGGACAGTGCAGACGAAATGAGACCCACATGGGGCCCCCGCAGCACGCGGGCCCCAGCAGTGCGCGCGGGGCCGCGCGCTCCGTCTCGTCCCCCACCCCGCGGTTTGTCTCTGTCGATTGATTCGTGCCAACACGTGGCCTCAGGATCACAGTGACGTGTTTTTCTCCGTAGTTCTTACTACGGTGCAGCCTGGCCCTAGGCCCTGGGGTTGGGTCGTGTGCAGTCCACGTAGTTGCTACCCTCGTGCGGCTTCCATTGTGGTGGAGGACACAGATGAAACGTAGGACCGTGCGAACCAATTTACAGTTGAAAATTGTTAAAAGTGAACAAGATTTCTGCTTCTGGCCACGGCAGAGGAATTGGGAGTACACTTACCCTCTTCTTACAAAAACTGGAAAATGGGAGGCAATGCCGGGTGGGGCAAAAATAGGGTGTACCGCTGTGAGTATGGGAAACAGTTTATTCTTGTATTATTATGTATTAATCATTGTATTAGTTCCCATACGAGCCACTGGAAGTGTCCTTTTGCTCCAGCTTGTATATGAAATGCATGACTGCGATGCCAAGAGAAGGGGAAGACGTGTTGCTAAGACTGTCCCGGCTTTCTGACTTAGGCATTTTTCTAGGCTGTGTTGCGGGAAGTCTTGCTGGCTGAGAAGAATGAGTTTGGGGAGGAAAGGTAGCTGGAATTTGTGGGAGGGAAATATGCAGAGAAGGAGCTCCAGAAATATGCACAGAACACTCCTGGAGGGTGTTGGAGGCAGTTTCCGGACTGCAGTGCAGGGCGGGGGAGTCCGAATGGAGCCTGGCGATCTTGCTGAGGTGAGGAGAATGCATTTGGAGTAGGAAAGGCCAAAGGGGCTGGAATTGAAGGGGCAAGGCTCCAGAGAGGAAGAGTTCCAGAAACCTGCAGAGAGGTTCCCTTAAGTCTTTGGCCGAATACCAAATTGTGCATGTGTCCGGTGAAATCCTCACGGGCTGCGCAGGAACGACTCTGCCGAGGAAATAGCAGTAGTCCGGGAGCTGCGAGATAAACACGCCCCGAAGTTCCAACAAGGCCAGGATTCGTTCAAATCCCCCTCAGGGAGAGAGCAGATCATGTTGAACATGTGGGGCTCTCGTGGGAGATCCTGGGAAACCACGCACTGGAAGTGGGGCTCAGTGAGGCTTAAAACAATGGGCACTTTAGATCTGTTCTAAGAGTTTTAAAAGAAGACATAAAAGAATCAAACCAATTCACAAATACCCTAGCTGCCTGCCAGAATCTGTCCTGTGTTCTTGATACAAATATTATGATCTCAAAATATGCACACTTGAAGTAAATGGAATGACATCTTTCAAGTGCTGAAAAGAAAACCAGAACTATCACCCTAGAGTTCAATGTCCAACAACAAAAATCCTTAAAAACTGAAGGCAGAATAAAAGCTTTCTATACAAAAAGCTGAGACAATGTGTCACCAAGTTGACCTGCATCACAAAAAAATATCAGACAAAGCTCTTTAGGCAAAAGGAAAACGATACCAGACAGACGCTTGGATCTGCACAAGGGAAGGAAGCGTGCAGGAAATGGTAAATATGGGAGTAAACAGCCATTTCTTTTTTCAGTTTTAAAAACATTTAGAAAGATAATTGTTTAAAGCAAAAAATAATAATGTGTTGTGGCATCTGTAACACATTGAAATAACATGTATGACACCTGAAAAGATGGGAGGGAGAAATGAAAGCATTCCCTTGGCAAGTTCCTAGGTAATACATGAAGTGGTATAACATCTGAAGGCAGACTGTGATAAGGCAAACATACCAATTGTGAACTGTATAGTAACCACTAAAAAATTAAAGATGTATGAGTAATAAGTTCATTGTGGAAATACGACGGAATGCTAAAAATTAATCAGCAAGAACACAGGAAGAGAGGAAAGAAAAAAAGAATAAACAGGAACAATATAAAACAGAGCATGATGGTAAGTTTACGCACAACTATATTGATGGTTATGTTAAATGCAAGTGGC